ATCAATGGGGGATCTGTTCTTTCTGTCTGTTAATTCAACTAGCTACATCACAAGATCAGCCAAATGTTTTGCCTTCACAAACCAAGAATAATCACCCTAATTTAGCCTACCTGTAACATTGTATAGATGTGTACATCAGTTCCCTGCACATACCTAGCTCTTCCTAAGTTCATTACCTGGAAGTTTCAGAAATCAAGAGAAACTTCTTTCTTCTTTGGGATTTATCTTCCAAGGTAAATAATGGATCCTCAAACTCTATTGAACTAAATGGGAAGTACAGCATAAGTCTTAACTCATATCCTGTAAGTTCAGGGAGCCTCGTGTTTTATAAATATAACAATAGCTTCCCTTTCAGAGTTCGATTTTCTAATGACAAAATAATATTAACATCACTAAGCTCTTAGTGCGTTTAGCATGATTAAGATATGAGGCCATTAATTCCCCCCCCCACATAATTTACATCTTTGACTATGGCTATACCCACTACAAATCAATAAATATAAACCGATATAGCTGTTTTAAATTAAGTCTTTACTGAAAACCTGATTCAATATGAAATGGGGAGGAGAGTTAAGTGAAAAGGACACTTTCTTGATTATATCAATTACCAGCTTTTTCTAGTGGAGGGGAATAACTTTGTCCCTCTAAGAAAAAGATACATAATTTAAGTATTGATGTTAACTCTGCACACAGGAACCCTGTCAAGTTAAAATTAGTAAACTATGAACAAAATGCAACAATGCCACCAGAAGAACTGCCATTTTCATGGCTACTGATCTAGACGGCAACTCTTTTCCTTACAAGCCTCAAGATTCATCGTATCCATGGATTCATTTTTTAAAGTAAATTTGCTTTATCATATACCTTTTAACTTCTTCATGCCCTAGAACCATGAAACCTTTGCAATATTTTCTGTAGTTGTTGCTTTCAAAGATTCAACACTTAAACTTCAAAAGATTTCCAATTCACGATTACAACCACAGATTTACAACCACAGATTTAATCATTGTCAATTTTCAAAAAGTTAGAACAACTTTAAGATTTATTTCCCTTACAAAGGTGTTAGGTGTTAACTAAATTGCTTCAAAAAGACACATGTTGTACCTTGACAATTATTTCATTCTTTCTTAATTTCCCAATTTCAGCCCCAGAGAAATACTCACCTTTGGTGTATTCTAAATCTGAAGAAGCAACTTTCTGAAGTAACTTCTGGCCAACTTTTTAATTCATGTTGAAGAAGTGAGCCATCAGATTCACATTTTCTTTGTAAATATGATCATGGAAAAGTGAAATAATATAATGTACAGTTTCCTGGAGGTTTGGAGAACAAAGGCCAGAATATTCCTCCCCCTCCTCTCCCTGTGCGGCTTTGACATTGATCTGAAGAACGCCCTCTTGTGGCTGTCAGCAGAACAAATTAGCCAGCCAGTTTGGAAACAGTCTTCTTCATAGCAAGGCAGACAAGTTCACCTTCCATATTTTAGATATTTCTAAAATCTTGCTTAGCTTATAATGCTTTCTCACTCATTATTTAAATGGAAATATCATGGGATTTTTAAATGACTGCTTGCCCTAGAAATATACAAAGGATTTGTTTCTCCTCTGTTTTCTTCTGTTTCTTCTTCTTCTTCTTCTTTTCCTTTCCTTTATCTTTATTCTTCACCTTTTTCTCCTTCTTTCCTCTTCTTCCTCCTCTTCTTCCTTCATTCCCTAACACAAACTCCATGATTCCTATCCCTTGAATAACCAGTTAATTTTTAACTGGCAAAGGAAGTTGCTGGCGGGATGTTTATGGCCACCCCACCATTCTCTGCTTGTCTGTCTGCCTCTCTCCATCTATCTTTCTATCTCTGCCTTTTAAGAGGTGCATTCCTTTGTAGCATGTTAGCAAAATAAACAAGCAACCCTCTCCCCATCTTCATGCATTTCCTTTGACCAGACACTGTCTGGCTGGGTGGGGGTCACCAGCAAAAGTCCAGAGCCCATCACCTCAAGTTTATGGGCGATGTCCAAAGCAATACAGAAGTTCAAAGCCAATAAACCTAGAGGGGTAAAATATGTACTTTTCTAATTATGAATGGCAAGAAGAAAGGAGGAAATAAGGTTGAGTCCCTTTTTGCCCAAAGGCACTGGATGGGGTTTCAAAGAGGCGAGCTCTTAACCCCGTATAAGTAGCCTATGCCTTATGTTGCTTTTTGGTAGCTCACAAGAGGAACATCCTTTAGAGACAATTCTTTTCCATGCCTCTCATACAGTACTGGCACATAACCCAATTTCCATCAGCACACTTTCACTTTTGAATTCTGTCTGAGGCCCCCCATCAACTTTCAATTCTGAGTTCAGGTGTATGGTGCCTGGAACAAACAAGAACAAAAGACTCTACACACAAAGATTTAACAGATAATCAGAGTTGGGAGGGACCTTATAGGTCATCTAGTCCAACCCCCCCCCCCCGCACAAGCAGGAGACCCTACACTATTTCTGACAAATGGCAGTCCAATCTCTTCTTGAAAGTCTCAAGTGATGGCGCTCCCACGACTTCCGAAGGCAAGCTGTTCCATTGGTTGATTGTTTTCACTGTCAGAAAGTTTCTCCTTATTTCCAGGTTAAATCTCTCCTTGTTCAGTTTCCACCCATTATTCCTTGTCTGGCCTTCGAGTGCTTTAGAAAACACACACACACACACTTGAGCTCTTGCAATGTGTTTTACATCTATGAACAAAAGCACCAAGTCTATAGCCTGCAATTATTTCAAGGCTGATTCCCCCTACCTCCGCCCCTTTCTCTGCAAACCATTCAAACCTGGCCTGGTACCAGCAGCAGTCTGCCCACGCATTCATAAATACCAGACCTGATCTCCTGGCTTCTCAGAATTCAGCACAACCAATAGGTGAGTGGGATTTCCACTAAAGCAATTAACTCAAAACTCATGTTTCAGATTTCCAGTCTGGGTCAAAGAAGATCCATGAATGCATCATAAATCTTACAAAAAAAAACTCTTGTAAATTTATCACATGTTTATTTCTAATGTGCAGGATTCCACTGTACTCATGCAAGAAAAAGCTTTCCCATATTCAAAGAAAACGGTATATACATACAAACAAAATACAGGCTCCCCCCCCCCTCCAAACAGTGATAGAATCTAAAAGTATTGCAATTCATTAACCACAAAAGAAACTTTATCCATTCTGGAAGCAGTGTAAAAACAGCCTTAGTATACAGGTTAAACAAGAAAAGAAACATCTGACACCTTCCAAGTGAAACAACCCACTTAAAATATTAGGAAAATGGCTGCAAAACCATTTTAAATCATACAAGTCTTATAAAACACCATTATGGTATGAAACATACATTCAGATATTCTCAACAGTAAGTGACCTTTACAATAAAACACATATCCTTTGTAAACTGATATAGAACTTTAAATAGCTTTCTTTCTGTTAAAACCATGTCTTTTTCTCTCTCACACCCTCTTTGGTACTATATATGTATGTATGTGTGTGTGTATATATATATATATATATGTTTTCTTAAGTTTTCGCGGGTACTTACATGTATGGTATTCAGCTTTGTTCGGGTATTTTCCCACGTCATTATGGTTGTGCTTTTAAAGTTGTAGCAACGTTTCGGCAGAATCTCATCTGCCATCATCAGGCTTCTGTATTGAGTTCGTCTGTGAGTCAGACTTTTACAGTTCTGACTCACAGAGGAACTCAATACAGAAGCCTGATGATGGCAGATGAGATTCTGCCGAAACGTTGCTACAACTTTAAAAGCACAACTATAATGACGTGGGAAAATACCCGAACAAAGCTGAATACCATATATATATATATATATAAAATTTGCATGTACGTGTGTATGTCTATGTATGTGCATATATACACATACACACACACACTCCAAAAACTCTTAATTTTTAATTTTTGCTGCTTAACAGCAAAGTAGGACATATGAGGCTAACTATAAGATATGATAACAAATTCCTTTTATTTACATTGTTTGCCTTCTAGTGGGCCTTCTTATGAAACACTAGTGGTTTTCATTCTTTGATTTCAGTGCATTACACATAATCTAGATTTCAATTAGACATGATATTTAATATTTGCCAAACTATACTTTTCCTGATATATTTATTGAAAAAAGTTTCTGAGACAGAAGCCAAAAACTTCTCTGCCTCATTTTAAACGTTTACTTTCTCATTTTACAACTATTATTGTCGTCTTTTGTCTTTTCTCCTCCCACATAGGTTTAAGAAAGTTTTTATTCGCTTTTAGTATTTAACTATGGGCATAATGATTTGTTTCTGATACTGTTATTCATTAAAATTGTATTTCATAAGCCTATCCATGTTGTCTTCTCAGTGATTGTTTCCTTACCATATATGGCAAATTATTACCTGAAGTCCTTTGAAAGGAAATTGTCTCTGTCTGAGGCGCAGGAGTGTAATTGTGGGGAGAAATAATAATTTGTCATTCAAGAAGACAAATAGATTGCTCAGGGATTTGCCTAAGTAAAAGGACATTTCCTTTTGAAGTTGTCCTCCAGCATATATGATGCCCTGAGGAGTCTTCCCATGGACCTTCCATGGGAGGCAACATAGTTTTCCCATGGACCTTCCAATTAAGGTAACATAGTTTTAAATCCACAACCACAACCTGAAGCCAGGAATTTGCTCCCGGCTTTTCACATTTGCTCACCCCAATTGGAAGAAGTTGTAGGGATACAATGGCTTTTGCAAAGGGTGGTCCAAGAGTTAAATGGATTCCACTTGATGTGTGAAGATGAAGGAAAACTGTACAAAAGAAAACCCAGCCACAAAAAAACCCCAAAAACCCAATTGGTCAATGTTGGATGTAGGGCAGGAAAAAAAATCTTAGTTTTTCAGAGTCCTTGGAGCCTCTGCACACCTCCTCCTTACTGGTAACTCTTTGGCTTGACCTTATCAAGGGTGACATCTGAACTTAATCTCATACAGAAAAACACTACAAGTTTTAGGCTTAAAGTATTGGATTAGCTGAGTAATACTGCAGTCGGTCCCTATTAATTTTTTTCTCTTTCATTCTTCTGTTTTGGAACCATATTTTTACTTGACGGTCGGTCAAGTTGAGCATTCGTGAGAGCTGAAGACGTTTCTCTTTGTTTATATAGACACTGAAGAAGAATTCCCTTTCTAATTCTCTAATCTGGTATTTGGTGTATGGACATCTCTTTTTACGGATGCGTTGTCCACCTGTGGAACAAAACATAAAGGCAGAAGCCATTAAGTCTGGAATCAGATGTGGCTGGAGGGAGGACTGCTGCTTAATATTGAATCAAGACCATCCATATGTTTCTCTTCTAAGAAACTCTTGGCTCATAATTACTAAGTCTCATAATAGTGATGATCTCTCCTACTCAGCAGCTGTGTATATTAATTTTACCTTATCTCAGGGAAATAGCTTTCAGGGGCTGCCTTAATCCAAAAAGAACTTTCTTTGAAGCCCTGCTTCAAACAATAGTGCTACAATCTCTGCTCTGAACATGTTTGCTCAAGACAGGAGCTTTTGTGGTCTTGAGAATGGTCAACATCTCTGCATGTATTGCCCAACTGATCCTGAGCAGTATTTTCTACCAGGAAAGGTTTTACGTATGAAGGGTTCAACTCTTGCTTGTTACCCCAGTATACCCCCCTTTTCTACAAAGCTTAGCAATTAAAAGAAACAGCTTTCTGGGCTGGCTCTAACTTTAGTCGTTCCCCTGAAATCCATGAAACTTCCAGAATTCATTAACTTCTGGATCCTCTGATTAAAATCTTAATGTTTATCTCTGCCTTTACTTCACTTGTCAATATAGTATATCATCATGATTTAAAGTAAATTTACTTTCTATTTTTGCATTTTCCTTTTTCTTTTATAAGGACCTTTTCACTGTGTCAGATAACTACCTAGTTCACTGATTCTTACCAGGGGAACGTCCTATTTTATACTTTCAAAATCTCTGTCCTGTCAAAAATTCAGCTGCAGTCGATACAAACTGTCTTAAGCCACTATAGTTCTTCTTAAACAGGGCTTTGTATTTGCTTTTGTCATATTAACTTGGATTAAATATAAATATTCAGGCCTTTTTCACTTAAATAAGGACTTGTCAAGTTTTCTTTCACTGTTGAGAATTAGAAAGGTCTTTTCCACCCTCAGTGCTTGAAGGCAGTCTTCAAAGGCAGAAAAATGCACATTAAAAAAATCAGGCTGCAACAGCTTGAAGAACAGTTGTGAGAAACCAATTGTTGGACACAAGGCAACATTTAACTCAAGCAGAGTTTAGGAGAAACTGATTCTTTTAGACAAAAGAACTAGTTTTAACTAAAGTTGTTGCCCTTAACAGATAGCTGTTGTTGCAGGTCCTCCCCTTCATCTGTTAGACCCTGTTCTCCTGCAATCTATAAAATCTGAGATGGCTTTGAATCCAAGTATCTCACTAAGGTTTTAAGGATAACACACGAGTTTTATAATATGTGTGTAAGTGTTTGTGTGTATTAATCACAGGGTTACATGGCTATCAAAGGGCTCTGAAATCTCCTTTTGAACAAATTTTACAGGCGAAAAACGTGCATTATATTTTGGGGAGTTTGAACAAGGAGCTCTCCCTCCTCTCTCTATTTAGTCCTTTGTTTAATGATTTAGGGAAAAATCACCACCTGAGGGGGGGGATAGTTTGAGTTTGGGTTTTTTTTTTTTTTAAAGGCATCCATTGGCGGACGAGCATTTCACGGCCAATTTCAGTCCTCGCCACGTGATCTCGCCTTTTACAACAAAGTTTTGTTGGGGGAAATCTAACGGCCCTTCATAAACCTTCTCTGCTTATAAAACAGCATATAAAAATTTAATAGCGGCGATGCGCTAAGATTTCCAAGCCCCGTTCATAAAAAGCGCTAGGGCGCTGCCTTTATACGTACTGGAGCTGCTGGATTTCTCTTCGTTGTTGCCGGAAGACGAAGCGGGACTGCTGCTGCTCTCGGCCCTTCTCCTCCTCTCCTTCTCCCCCGCCGCCTCCCGGTCGCAGGCCGCCTCCGAACTGGACACCGCAGCTGCAGCAACTCCCGAGGCGGCGGGGGCTCCTGCGGGCGGCATCTTCTCCCCGGCGGCGCCCTTCTCGCCCGCGTAGTCCGAGTGGTTCTCCGCCGGGCCGTAGGCGGTCTCGAAAAACTGGTCGAAAGCCTGGGGCAGCACCCCGTTCCTGCCCACCGTGCTATAGAAACTGGACGAGGCCGCAGCCGCGGCGGAGACTGCGGAGGTGGCCGGGTGGTGGTAGGCGCCGCCGGTCGCGGTCTTCCCGAACATTTCTCCCCGACTGGCGGCGGCGGCGGCAGCAGCAGCGGCCACGGCGGCGGCGGGCGGGAGGCAGTCCCGGTGCCTGAGCTCGTCGGCGGAGTAGCAGTGAGGGAGGCTGTTGCGGGGGTGCCACTTACTGGCGGGCTCCAGGGCATAGTCCCGGAAGGTCACTTCTCGCACGGGTGGCACCTGGGACAAGTTGGACGGATAGGAGTAGGGCACTGGGCGAGAAGTCGGGCTCTGGGGCAGGAAGGAAGGGAGGCCGGAGAAGTCAGGGCCGGAAACGTAGTAAGTACAACTGGGCAAATACATATTCGAGGAGCAGGGTACTCGCTCGTCCAAATCCATAACGTGGGCTGGCTACCTCGGATTCTCCGCATTAGCCGAGTTTAACATGACGCTCTAATGCAGCTGTCTCTTGGAAGCTGAGCCGTGAAGTAAGAAATTGGGAGACGTAAAGCTGACGTGGAAAGCTTTCCCCTTCCTTAGCAGGGAGGCGCTGCTCACGTGACCAAATGTTAAAATTGACAAGCTATGAGTACTCTTCCTCTCCCACCCACCCCCCTTTCTCCTTCCCCTCCTTGGGAGCCATCTCGAGAGAAGCAACAGATCGTCCCCTCAGGTCTCCACGCCTAAAGTTTACAACAAACAACGAAACACAAAGATTTAAATGCAGTTTATACCTATCTGACTTTGGAACGAGAACTTCCAAAAGAAGGAAAAAAAGGAGGGGAAGGCGTGCTTACTGTTTTTCCCCCCATTAGATACACACACACACCCGGTCCCATTAAGCTATCTGGACCCCATTCCGATGGAAGGAGGTTTCGAAGCAGCAGGATTCTGCATCTAGCCCCTTCTTTTTCCTCTTGCGTCTGAAGAAACGTCTTATCTCTCTCTCTCTCTCTCTCTCTCTCTCTCTCTCTCTCTCTCTCTCTCTCTCTCTCTCTCTCTCTCTCTCTCTCCACATCACAGGCAGGTCTATCTTATGGGCTGCGCCGCTCCGCAACCTCTTGGGGTCTTCCTGAAAGGTCCCCCGATTAGATAATCCTCCAGACCGCCAGGCTTTTGAGAAAGCTCCGGCCGGCCTGAGTGCGCCGGGGTCAAGTCTGCGCAGGGGTTTTCTTGGTAGACGCGGATGACGTGCTGCTACTCCAGTTTACTTCCGAAGGAGCATTAGTGTCTTCCTTCTCGTGGGTACCTATTCACCTCAGCTAACCTGGGAATTTTCACCCGGCCTTTGTTTAGGACGCTGCATTTGTACACGAAGTGCCTTTAACCAGATTCTTTCTTCTCTCTCTGCCATTCATCCTTCTTCATGAATTTTCCCCCTTATTTCCTACAGCAAGAGACAGCAAGTGACCAGGAAAAGGGTCTAATCTCAGAGAAACAGCTGCCAGGTTGAACGACCCCTTCTATACGAACCTGGAAGCTGTGACTTTGAAATGAGCACTAGGTTTTGCCAACTGATTGAGTGAAAGTGGCATTGCAGAGACTTAGGGGATTGTGTCCTCCCCAACACCCTTCATTTGGGGTGGGGGGAAGGCCCTCAGAAGTGGTGCCCAAAGCGAGTTGCTTCTCAAGCTCAAAATTAACAATAAAAAGAACATCCTTATATTTATTCAGGGCCAAAAGAGACGCACAGAGAGAGAAATATTGCTATACAACTTGCGCTTCTCTCAGGAAGCAAACATCATACTTCTGGCGGCTGAGTAATTTTGACGGAAAAAGAAAATAAACTTTCTTTGGCTATAACTAATGAGAAACTCATTGAGCGTGTGTATCTGTGCTTTTGTGTTTCTGTATCTGTCTCTGTATCTGATAATATCTAGGGTGGAAAATTAATCTATCACTGCCATGCAGACAACTGATTCTAAAATTACCAAATAAAATAGGCAGATTTCCTAGTGGCTGCTTGACCCATTCTCTGAATATTAGAGAAAAGGAAAAGTGGAATTCTTGGGAGGGGAAATAATGCTTCTCAATTCTTTTCTCCCCACCCCCTTGGAAAATAAACCTGAATTTAAAAAGCCACACATTCTGGGTGCTTTGGGTTTAATTGTTGGGACCAATTTGTTTATTTATTACATAATTAAATCTAACTGGCTCAATAATATTGGGTTCTGACAGAAACAATACATTGACTATGTATTTTCTTTACCTTTGATTTAAGTGTACCAAGTTGTAAATATCAATATTATCTAGTAAGTACCTTGTAGTGGAACATACTAATTTATTAGCATAAATGTTTATATCTCCCCCTCTTTTCTTCTACTGTCCCTTTTCTTTTCTTTTTTACAAGGGTAAACCATCGCAAATCAACAGTTTTGGACATATCCCTTTAATGAACTCTTTATTTTGGATCGCTGGAATAACTTTTATGTGCCTTCAACATTTGTAAACTGAAATTATTAATTAATCTCCGTCTTTGTCACATTTGCCAAAAGAGTCGATGGAAATAGGAGATAAGGGTGTCATCAAAGAACCGGTTACAGCTTGCTCAGGGTCTATGTGGGACTATAAAATGGTTTTATTTCTCCTTTCTTTCTTTCTCTCTCTCTCTCTCACTCACTCTCTCTCTCTCTCTCTCTCCCTCCCTCCCCCTGTGTGTGTGCGTGTGTGTGTGTGTGTTGGGGGGGGTGTTACAGAAATATGCAACAGGGACGCTTGCCAAGTTGACTTCAAAAGCAGCTTTCTTGCTTTTCCATAGTTTTTTTTCCTTCTCCCGAACCAAGCAAAATACCTGCCTCTGAGTTCGGGCTCCAACCTTTCCCATTCTAGATATAAAAAGTGCATTTCCCCTCCTTTTCTGAAGGGTCTCCCTCCCCCCATAATTCCAGCGATAACAAAGGCGCCACCGTTGCACAGAGTCGCCCCGCCTCTGTTGCTCTATACTAGCAAACAGCTTCCTTGCCCTTGCAGGAGACCAGCATTTCAGGCGCTCTTGGAAACCGGCGCGTCTAGGAAGGGGCGAAAAACAGCTCTCAACTGACCTGGGCTTTTATAGCACTTTTGGCAGTCAACTTCAGCTTGTCTCCAGCAGACGCGACTGAAAGCTGACCGAAAGCACCGCCTTCCCTGAAGCTCTCAAGAAACAGTGCCCTTTAGGGTAAAGGGGGCAACAGACCTGGAAGGCAAGCTCTATCATATCTAGGCAGTAATGGGAAGGGCTCCCTTTGGGCAGCCAAGGGCCGGCTGTGTATTATTCCTTTCAGACAAAAGAGAACCGAAGACTCTCTCCGTCTTTGGGAGGCAATAAGGCAGAGAGGCGGAGGGGAGGGTGGGATTGAGAGAGATGGAATGGAGAAAGTGGTTGCGGCGACCTGCAGCTCCAGTCTCTGGTTCAGCTTGTTTCTTCTGGGTTTACGCGCAACTAGTGGGACGTTTGGAGATTGGGGAAGTTGCATCCGAACGCAAGGCATAAAAAGCCCCCCCCCCCCGCTGAGCTTCCAAATGGGGTTTTCTTGAAAGGGGTGCCATTCTGCAGACTTCTTCGCTCCCTTCGTTGCCAAGGGAAAAGTAGCGAAGGAACGCCCAGACTCTTTCCAATAGTCCGCCAGCACCTTCAATCCGCTCCCAAGGATTTTCTCTCTATTCCCCCTCCCATTCCTTGCCCTTCTCCACAATATACGCAAGTTTATGAGGCCTCCCCTTCGGAAATATTCCCGAATTTTCATATATCTGGAAGCAGAGAATGAATGAGAAGAGCAAAGGAAGGAGTAGAGAGCAGCGTCCCAATTTACTTCTCTGGAAACCAGGTCAATAAAGAGAGGCAACCCCGTTTAGAAAGAAAATTAACCCAGGTTCTGTGTCTAAGCTGAGGGGTGTGGGGTGTCTGAGAAAAACGCTCTCGGGTTTTGAATAAAGATGCAGTAAATGGCAGTAAGGAGTTTAGGAGACCAGGAACGGCGGTCAACCACACCCAAACTAAGTATTGCTGGAGAAGTGTAGCATTTATTTGACATTGAAAGAATATAAAAGGAACCTAATTAAAATATATTTTTTGCTCTCTGTAATCTCCTATATAGATTATTTTTTAAATATGTCTAGCTATTTTCTTAATTAGAAGAGGCTTTAAAATTAGGAAGTCAGGCGTCTAAACATGTCAGAGCATTCCATAGAAAACATCTCCTTTTGAAGCTATGTTTGCAACACGTATGAAAATGAGTTTGTTGCAACAGGTCTTTTATCTGCCATTATTTCCACCTCATGCTTTTTGCCTTTTGTTAATTTAGAGATTTGAATACATGTATACATTTCACACAGTTCGCTTAATGTCTAGGGGAGTTGCAATTTATTAAGTCTCTAAATTTCTAAAAGTGCGACTTTTAAACAAAGGTTTAAACAGAAAGAGAAAAGTGTCATAATCATCTGAGTATTAAAGCTACCTCACATTTCTTTAAAAGTTCATGTTCCTCATCCCCTCTTTCAAATAAAACCCGATCTTATCATTGCAATATAGCTCAAACCATCAAGCATTTTTAAAATGTAGTATTTCCATTTTGTCATTTTTTCATGGGTTTTTTTCTCAGATCTTTTCATATAGTATTGTTTACAAACTTGTTTTAAAATTAGATATAAACTCCTCAAATATTTTCCTAAATAAGGATCTAATGAGATATTAGATGGCTTGACTCTTCAAATGTGTTCTGAGTGTGGACAGCAAAATGATTCTGCATCCGAATACATGTTTAATATGGTTGCATGTTTTATTTTTCCCTGCAACAAAAGTATGTAATCAAAATAATTTTTGAAATAAGATGCTTAGTATGATCCTAATGAAGCTAAGTATTAATGCTGCTAAAATTAATTAATATAATTGAAATACATTTTAATATTCTTAATAGCCATTAGTTTTCTCTGAATCCCCTAAAGGCTAACTTTCTTGGAAATATGTTTTATTTCTTCCCTCTTGTTGCTGGTCATTGCTTCTATACCACTTAGAAGATCATCTGGAGAAGCCACACATGTCTAATTAGGAATAAGTCTTATTGAGTTCAATAGTAGTTTATTTCAAATTAGCACAAGCACGCATAACACTGAAGTTTAGATGGCATAGTTGGTTCTGCACATTAATTTTTATTTACAAAACCCTCCAAATTTGAGAGGTTTATCCCTACAAATGTGAAAGACGGTTCCCATTGCCCACCCACTGTTTTTTCCCCTCTCCTACCACAGTCCCAATGAAAACATGGATCATATACTCAAATGCCAATTTCCAACTACTGATGCAGGACGCATTTAGTTGCAGGCAAACTTGATTCTTTCTTTCACCAGGCTCGGAAAACAGTAATCTTTGTTTTGACTCTACTTCATTTTTTACTTCACCCCTCAAGTTTGACAAACTTGTG